TTACGGTATAAGTGAGTAGTTTGTATTATTTCAAATTCAAAGTTTATTCTCTATAAAGATTACAATGTTGAATTTACAGAATTTGGTTGTTGTGTGGTTTACATGTAGTTAAATAATGATTACAGAGTGTACCACTAGAACGCCTAGCATGGCTAGGCATTTCGGGCAGACTTAGTTTAATTCTTTATTTTAAAATATTACAAATTATGAGGTAAGTTGGTATTATGGCTAAGTGACTAAATACTAGTTTGTGAGTTTAGCAATGTGAATGCTTTTGTTTTGGCACAGTACATAGTTTCAGTATTGGAGTATCAGAGGATTCATTATTTTAAGATTGAGATTAATATTTCTGTTTATGTTGGTAGAATTATCAACAATATGTTAGGTAAAAGGATACATGTGCAATTAATGCAGCATTTTAATGTGGCAACGTTTCGCTCTCCAGGAGCTCTGGAGAGCCAAACGTTGCAGAATAAAATATCACATTAGTTGTACTAGTTCTGTCAGAGTGAGTGAGGATTAGGTTCGTTTTGTAGTGTCAAGTTTTTTCCTATTTTTTTTTTTATAGTTTTTCCCGCTTTTCTTACTTCTTTTTTTCTAGTAAACATTCTACCTCAACTTGATATAAATCTCAGTTGTTTCTCCTCGATAACGAGGTCTCTGGTCTTCTGGGTCGTAAAAAAAAATATAGAGAATTCCCATTCGTGAGTAATCGTATGTTATTTAGTTCTTCCCTTTCACTCCTTTGTTCTGCTATAGTTCCGTCACCTACTGTTCCATGTCGTAATTTTAATTATATATGATTAAGTTACCCTGTGATCCCATGACTTGTAAAGTTGCTTCTTTCATTTCCTCCTTAATTTCATTGATATTTTTTCTAGATTTACAAAAAAAAAATCTCTTTTTTCCTCATATTATTTCTCGACTCTTATGCATTTTACCTCCAGCGGCTGTAATATTATTTAATTTTTTTTTATATTTCTTTTGCAGTATTAATGTAGATTCTATTCGGTTCTCTGATTCATATCGTATATTTAGCGTGTGAAAATGACATTTGTGCATTTAAATGTCCTGAACTGTATATAAATGTCTTTTCCTACATCTTGTCGGTATCACCACAACATTTTTTTTTTTTTCATATATTTATTGTGTCTAATGTTGTTGTGGTTTATAGGGCCACTGACAGCGTACGCCGTATCGATCCCTTGTGTCCCTGATAACCTTATTCATTTTTACCTGATATTTCATTATCCTCAGTCGCTGCTCATTCATTTTTCTCTGGAATTTATCTTGACCTGTCTTCTGTTTTTTTTTTATCCGCACCCCTTAACTCGATCTTTCTTCTGATGGTTTCCTCTCTCTCTCTCTCTCTCTCTCTCTCTCTCTCTCTCTCTCTCTCTCTCTCTCTCTCTCTCTCTCTCTCTCCAATAATGGTTCAGATTTCACAGAAATTTCTCGGTTTTCTCTTCAAACTGAACATTGGTTGTGAATTTCAGTGGAGTTTAGTTCCTGGCTTTTTCTCTTCCTTTGCCTTTCTTTCACCTTCCTCTGTAGTTGTCAGTGTTTTTTAAAGTGTGTGTGTGTGTGTGTGTGTGTGTGTGTGTGTGTGTGTGTGTGTGTGTGTGTGTGTGTGTATAGTCACCAATTTGTGGTTGCAGGGGTCGATTCACAGCTCCTGAGACATACACACACACACAGCTGAAGAGGCGGGGCCAGGAGCTGTGACTCGACCCCAGCAAGCACAGCTAGCTGAGTACAACTAGGTGAGTACACACACACACACACACACACACACACACACACACACACACACACACACACACACACACACACAAAATTTCTGGGACTGCAGACAGGTAGTTCAAAGCACTCTTTCAGCAACTTTCACTGTTGTTAATGAACTTCAGAAGCTGTTGTCCCATATAACTCCTTTACAGTTAAGTACATTGAATTTGTCATGCAGAAAAAACAAAGTTTTACAGTTAGGTCTTTATTGTAATGCCACTGGCCAATTTTAAATTTTTTTCATTGTTTATGGCATCAGTTTTATATATGAATTCAGTGTTCTCGAGATTATCCGTAGACGGGAGCTGGCTGGTAGGATGGGGCTGGCTGGTAGGCTGGATACTGGGCCTCTCCCTGGTAGTCAACCTGAGCTACGTAGCCGGAGTCACCGTTGACGTAATAATTCACTTTCTCAAGACGACCGTCGGGAAGCTGGACGTAGTAATTGCCCTGAGTGTTGTAGCCATCACGAGTTTCTTGATGACCAAAGTCGTTGCCATTGTTGTCCTTCACGGAGTAGTTGAAGTCGTACTTGAGGTGAGCCTGCAACAAGAACTCAATATTGTATTTTTCAAAGGTGCTGATCCCTTTTTTCATCGTTTACATACAAATATATACCATAAATATGTCCTACTTTTTCTGTATACACTAATATATTAAACCTAAAGTTTGTACACTCACAACAGGACCTGGGCTGCCATAACTAGGAGCTGGAGGATACTGAGGGTAGGCCAGTGTGGCGGCCACAACGACCAACAACACGAGGACCTGATGGTAGAAGAAAATATCCATGTTATTTAATCCAGGAAAACCCAGCAGAGCCAAGTACAACGACGTATTACCATTGGGATCTTTCCTTAGGTTGCTTCTCGGAATGGCCAGCTAACAATTTACTGCTAGGCGAACAGGGGCAGCAGATGAGAGGAGGTTTGACTATATGTCGCCTCTCATCCTGGAATCGAATCAAAGTACGTTCGGTCGTGAAATGAATTCTATATCACAGAACTACGAGCTATACGAGTTACAGAGTTAAATAATATTAGGAAAAAACTCGTTCCTATTTTTTCTACACACATTAACAATGATATATTAACCCGAAGATTAATATAAAAAATCAGAAGAGAATAATAAATGTGTAAATAATTTTCATAAACACGCAGCAGTGTGATTTATCAAAATTATAAACATATTGATTATTTTACTTACGTAGATTCAATGCATAAGCTTTTGTTAAGAGAGAATCATGAAAAATAATAATAAGCTTGTATCAGTAAAAATAGAAAGTAGACAATGGAACAAAATCAGAGGAAGCAAGTTATATACTAATTTGCTTTATAGCCACAGTAAAAAAAATCTAAGCGTTTTCGTGATACCCGAGTCACATTATCAAGAAACAATGTGTTCCTTGATAACGTTAAATTACGAAAGTACTGGTAATTTATCCTTCTTTCATTGTGGTTATATAACACTGTACAACGACACTTTACCTGTTAATGTAACACAAGTTACTAATGGTGAAATTAATATTATTACACTCAGCAAAACTGTGTTTAGCTGCCAAAGCAACATATACAGTAGGCCAAGTATGAGAGACAATGTACAAACCACGGAATGGGTGGCATTTGAACCCATAGTTGGATAAGTTTTATTACAGCCAGCTGGTTCAGTGGCTTACGCACTGACCTGGAGTTTTACAACTCATTTGCCATGGGTTCGAACCTCATCCATTCCGTGTTTTGTTTACAGTCGTATTATCACAATTTCGTGAGTCATGAGGTAGTGTACCTTATAAGCTGCCATGACTGGTGATGATGATGATGGTCAGTCTGTGTGTTCCTCTTATATACCTCTCATCCGTCCTTCGTGTTCACCTAATTCATCTTCTCGACCACAAAATTCGCTCTGACAAAATCGCAGCATCTTTTATGGGGTTTAATCGTGCGGAAACGAAATAGATCTTAGGTGACAGCACTTCTCACGCCTACCAGAAGCAGAGAATGCTTGGCTCCAGTCACTCGTTCAGAGCATGTGTGTTGAAAATGCGTGAATGACTCACGAAATCGTAATGACACGATTGCAAACAAACCATACCACGGGCGGGATTTGAACCCGCGGTCAGAGAGTCTCAAAACTCCAGACCGTCGCGTTAGCCACTGGACCAGCTAGCCACAATAAGATTCATCCAACTAGGTATATTTCTACACCATAGGAAGGTTAGCAGAGGCACCACTGTGACCACAAATGCAGGTTTTTACAGACGAATCTCCAGCTAGCGTGGCCGTGACGAACTCTAGCTCAAGTCTCCTCACTGTCATTACGATTTCGTGAGTCATGTTAACGGCAGTGAGGGGGCTTGAGCTAGAGTTCGTCACGGCCACGCTAGCTGGAGATTCGTCTGTAAAAACTTGCATTTGTGGTCACAGTGGTGCCTCTGCTAACCTTCCTATGGTGTAGAAATATACCTAGTTGGATGAATCTTATTGTGGCTAGCTGGTCCAGTGGCTAACGCGACGGTCTGGAGTTTTGAGACTCTCTGACCGCGGGTTCAAATGCGTGAATATTGTATGTTATAGTTGAAATAATTATTATTTATAATAATAATAATAATAATAATATGTTCTCAACAGTCGTTAAATTAATTCATATGAAATAATCCTACAATAATAATATAAATACGGATGTGCTGTATAAGAATTTTAATACGTATAATGAAATCTCATTACGTACTTCTCGTTCACTGTGGAAACGGACACTTGTGTATAGTTCAGGACCTTTATTACAGGAAATGTTTCGTTACGAGTGAATTCGTCAATCCTAATTTATCCCTTTCCACAAATTGTCAGAATCACCATAACATTTATAACCATTATTCGTGCACTGAACACTGTGTCAGTGACAGGTTCTAAGCTATACCAGGTTCAAGAAGCTCAAGATGTTAAATTTATACGCAGTTTAATATATCTGCAGACACATTCCTGAAGGCGTACGTAATGCAACTAAGGCAGTCGTGCTATCTGAAGTAGAGACCGGGAACCTTAACACCATTAAACACTAAACTGTAGTTTACATAGCTTATGCCTCTGTGTTGTATTGTTTACCTGTGTAACTCACGGGCATTAAACTAACAAATTTAAGTTCAAACTTTCTATCTTCCATTTGGATCTTTCTCGTTAAAAATCTTCTGAAGTTTTTTTTTTTTTCACTCTGGCTGCTTCTTACAGTATAAGTTCTACCTAAGACTCTGCTTGTGTGATTCATTAGCCTTTTTCTTTCGATCTGCTTCGTTACGAAAAGTATTCATGATTTCAATCGCTGGAATGTCTTAGGTTAAAATGTTAAGAAATAAATGGCCTCGAGCGGATGAAATATTGTATGTTAATTCAGTCGCCTCTTCAACGACCCACTTCAAAATATTGGGCACCAAAACCCTCCAGGTCAAAACGATGTTATAAAGTCTATCCTCAGTACGTCATTGGTTAAATGGCATTGAGACATTCTGGTGTGGGAAATTGGTGAAGGCGGTACGTTGATCCATGTGGGAAATTGGTGAAGGCGGTACGTTGATCCATGTGGGAAATTGGTGAAGGCGGTACGTTGATCCATGTGGGAAATTGGTGAAGGCGGTACGTTGATCCATGTGGGAAATTGGTGAAGGCGGTACGTTGATCCATATGGGAAATTGGTGAAGGCGGTACGTTGATCCATATGGGAAATTGGTGAAGGCGGTACGTTGATCCATATGGTAAATTGGTGAAGGCGGTACGTTGATCCATATGGGAAATTGGTGAAGGCGGTACGTTGATCCTTCCTGTGGGAGACTTGTGGTCAGGGCGACGTCATCACGATCCAAACTCGGAATGTCTCAGTCGACGATGTTCTTTATTTCCATCACGTTAGCAAAAAGTTTAATAATAACTTAAATTTCCTGTGATAAAGTATGGCTACGAAATCCTGTTATCTAATTCACCAGCAGCATAAATGTCAGTGAAATTCTATATAAAACTTAATAACAAATTATTAAATAAGCAAGACCTGGTCACAGACCGGACCGCGGGGGCGCTGACCCCCGAAACCATTTCCAGGTATACCCCAGGTAAGCAATTAAGAAAGTTTATTTCCCTTTACTAGAGACTAATTTAGTAATTAGTCTTAATCTACAGGAGACTGTAGAACACAGTTTTAAAAATAGGTTGGATAAATACATGAGTGGGTGTGGGTGGGTGTGAGTTGGACCTGACTAGCTTGTGCTACCAGGTCTGGTGCCGTGCTCCTTCCTTCAGTGGAAGTGACCTGACTAGGTGGTCATTGTTCTAAGCCGGGGGTGGCATGAACCTGCTTTGCATGGGTCAGTAGGCCTGTTGCAGTGCTCCTTTTTTCTTATGTTATTATGTAATAAACCATACCACGGGCGGGGATAGAACCCGCGATCAGAGAGTCTCAAAACTCCAGACCGTCGCGTTAGCCACTGGACCAGCTAGCCACAATAAGATTCATCCAACTAGGTATATTTCTGCACCATAGGAAGGTTAGCATAGGCACCACTGTGGCCATAAATGGTGCCTATGCTAACCTTCCTATGGTGTAGAAATATACTTAGTTGGACGAATTTATTGTGGCTAGCTGGTCCAGTGGCTAACGCGACGGTCTGGAGTTTTGAGACTCTCTGATCGCGGGTTCTATCCCCGTCCATGGTACGGTTTGTTTGCAATCGTGTTATTACGATTTCGTGAGTCAAGTTATTATGTAATGTTTGAAGTACATCTAACTACGTTACTGCTGCTGTAGTATGGGGTCACCACGACCCCTCTCACATGTAAGTACACTTTTGTTATTAAACACCATAAACATGTTTAGAAAACTGGACAATTCGTAAATTGAAACATGTTGACTTGCATTAAATAGTATCTAAGAAAAGAGATTTGTTTTTACATAAGCAAACTAAATGCTGACACATTACTTTCCTGGCATTGTTTATGGTGCGTAACAATAATAAATTATATTTACAAGAATAAGGTTTGTGTACGTCACATAATGCTACCTTGGAGTAGATTACATTATACTCGCATATATCACTTAAATTAACTCAATTACCCTCGGAGTATGGAATTTCTGTTGCATTTGAATCCAAAATATATTGTAGTTTGAGGGATGAGGCTGATGACTGTGATCAATGTTGATGTCAGTGATACTTAGAGCTGTGACCCCGAAGCTGTGTTCCCAAAGTTGTAACCCCGAAGATGTAACTGCGAAACTATGACTCCACGCTTTCTTTCAACAATAAGCACAGAAACTGTAACCACATCATTTTCCCTCCAGCACTGAGCAGAGGAGCTGTGTCCTCGCAGCTGTGACCCCGGCCTCTTCACCACTTCAACATTCCGTAACATTGATTAATAAACCACGACGTTCATTGTTCTCGTTGATGCGGAAAAATGTTTCACAGAATTATTCATGTTTTTAGTGAGGCGACGGAGCGTGAAGGTCGTAACTTACGGTACAGCTCCTGGGTGTACCAAAATCTTGGTATATAGCTCCCTACGTCACCAGGCAGACAGGGAGTGTAACAGGCACGGAGGGAAGTGACCCCAGAGAGGGCTTTGATAAATGAAGTACTTATGGAGGGGATTCCCTTTCCAAACAATAGTCACTCCTCCCTATCTGCTTCTCCTTGTCTTCCATAAGCCAACAAGAGTCTTCAATAAACATATGTAATAGTAATTTAAATGTTCATTTATTTGTTTTATTTAGTTCTCATTGTTTTGTGTATGTAAGACTATAATTAACCTTTAAAAAATGTATTTTTTGTTAATATTTTTGGGTGTCTGGAACGGATTAATTGTATTTACATTAATTCTTATGGAAAATATTGCTTCGAATTTAGGCCGACCTTCTGGAACCGATTACGGCCGATATTCGGGGTTCCACTGTACATTATAAAATAAGCGGAACAGCACGAGCCATAAGTATCTACAAACATTTAATTTCACAAACGAGACCAATATTTCAGTCAACCACAGCAACTGTCAGAGGTAGTTAAAAATACGTAATTGCACACATTTGTCCATTAATGTAATGTTTCAAAATCTGATCGCATTACGGTGGTTAAATCTTTCTCATTGCTATCACTAACTCGTTGTTAGATGAAAGCCAGTAAAACAATGTCATGGATGCTGCTGACACCATCATCTGGCTATTATGGTGCCTCACTGATGCTGCTGACACCATCATCTGATCATGGTGTGTCACTGATACTGCTGACACCATCTGGTCATGGTATCTCACTGAAGCTGTTCCCTGGTGCTGGTAAGGGGTTCTAAACTCATGAAATACTGCTACCCAATATTTTCATGTATCAAACTTGAACACTTCCCATTCTCCTGGCGCTGTATAACCCCTGCGGATTTAGCGGTCTCCTGTGAATACAATACGATACAATACGATATGGTAAACCTAAAGCATTATTATGCAATAAATTCATCTTTATTGAATTTATGTCTTTTATTAGGTATATACAACAATGCAATATTTATTATGAATTATATATCTGTGCTAGGGATTTTTCGCACTAGTAATCTGCCGAATCTTTGTACTCTTCACCAGGGACTTCTTCATAGGCGGAAATTAGGTCGTAGGATGGAGAATCCTCATAGATGGTTGATTCCTCATGGTCGTGTGATGGGTCGTAACTGGCAGGTGGTGTAGGGTGGTATCTTCGCGTGGGTGCAGGCTGGTAACCTGTACTCGAGGTAGGTTTGTGACTCAGTGTGGGGGCAGGTTCGTAGGCCGGACTAACAGATTCGTAGGTTTGCGTAGGTGAAGAGTCGTAGGCTGGGCTAGATGTAGATTTGTAGGTTTGCCTAGAGCCTGGCCTACGTCTACGATTCTTTGCTGCTGATTCGTGAGCTAGATTAGATGTAGGCTCGTACTTTTGAGTAGGCGCTGATTCGTAGGCCGCATTTGGGGGAGGCTCATAACTGGGGGCAGGAGTAGGCTTGTAGCCTTTTCTAGAGGCAGTTCTGCCTCTTGAGGTTTGCAATGGCTTATAGACTTGACTAGGCTTGTAAGTGGGGACTACGGAAGGTTTATAAGAAGGGGCTGGGGCAGGTTCGTAGCTGGAGGTTAGATCAGGCTCGTAGCTAGGGACTGGAGCAGGTTCATAGCTGGGGGTTGGGGAAGGTTTATAGGAAGGGGCTGGAGAAGCTTTGTAGCTGGGGGCTGGGGCAGGTTTGTAGCTGGGGGCTGGAGCAGGTTTATAGCTGTGGGCTGGGGCAGGTTCGTAACTGGGGGCTGGGGCAGGTTCGTAGCTGGGGGGTAGGGCAGGTTCGTAGCTAGGGAGTGAGGCAGGTTTATAGCTAGGGGCTGGAGCAGGTTTATAGCTGGGGGCTGGAACAGGTTTGTAGCTGGGGACTGGAACAGGTTTGTAGCTGGGGACTGGAACAGGTTTGTAGCTGGAGGTATCGGCAGGTTCGTAGTTAGAAGCTGGGGCAAGTTTATAGCTCGGGGCTGGAGCAGGTGTATAACTGGGGGATGGAACAGGTTCATAGCTGGGGGCTGGAGCAGGTTTGTAGCTAGGGGCTGGAACAGGTTTGTAGCTAGGGGCTGGAACAGGTTTGTAGCTAGGGGCTGGAACAGGTTTGTAGCTAGGGGCTGGAACAGGTTTGTAGCTGAGGGCTGGAGAAGGTTTATAACTGGAGGCTGGGGCAGGTTTATAATTGGGGGCTGGGGCAGGTTCATAACTGGGGGCTGAAGCAGGTTTGTAGCTAGGGGCTGGAGCAGGTTTGTAGCTGGGGGCTGGAGCGGCCTGGTATCCGGATATAGACTCGCGCGAGTACGATGGTTCCGGGTAGGTGGCCTCTCCCTCGTAAGTAACCTCAGCCATGAAGCCGGAGTCACCGTCCACGTAATAGGTGACCTTTTGAACCCGACCGTCGGGTAGAGGAACATAATAGGAACCCTGGGTGTTGTATCCTTCCCGTGTCTCCTGGTGGCCATGGTTCCTGCCGGTCTCTATGTCCTGCGCATCGTACTGGAAGTTATACTGCGCTGGTTGCTGCGGAGAAAACACAGGGAGCTTAGAGTCTCGGGAAATCGCAATGATACGATCGCAAGCCAGCGACGGAACCGGGCGAGGCTGGAAGCCATTGGTAGCTTTAAAAAGAGATTGGATAAATATACGAGTGAAAAGAACTGGGTTTGATTATTACCTGAGGTACTG